GGAGGGTAGAGGGAGGGAGGGGGAAGGAGGGAGGAAGGAGGAAGGAGGGAGGGAGGGGGAAGTGGAGGAAGAGGAGGAGGAGGAGAAGGAGGAGGAGCAAGAGGAGGAGGAGGAGGAACGATGGGGGGAAGGAGGATGAGGAGGAGGATTAGGATAAGGAGGGAAGAAGATTAGGAGGGAGGAGGATAAGGAGGAGGAGGAAGAGGGAGTGAGGAGGAGGAGAAGGAGCAGGAAGAAAGAGGAGGAGGTACGATTTTGAGGGATTGAGGAGGAGGAGGAGAAGGTAGGAGGAAGAAGGATTGAGGAGGAAGAGAAACAGATTAGAATAGATTAGTTAATCTTATTTTTGATTAAGATAAGATATTTGAAATACAGGACTGATATTGATTACCGTTGGTGTTTATCTGGAAATGGAAACAGCATGACTATACAGACGAGACGTAATGTTTTGCTATTTCTGCATTCACCAGACTACAGAGAATGAAAAAAGAAAAAAAAGGGAAAAGAAAAGAAAGGAAGAAAGAAAGAGATAGATGAATGAACGAATGAATAGATAAATGGAGACACAGAATAAAAGTGTAAAAGTTCTCCTATTTTCGCCACTTCTACATTCATCGGATCACAACGAATAGAAGAAAGAAGGAAAAACAGAGAGAAAGGGAGAAATAAATAAAGGAATAAATAAACGAACTGCATTTCTCTCCGTCTCAAACACTCTCTTGAAGGTTTTTAGCCTCAATGCTCCTAGATTTACACCTCATGAAAAAAAAACAAAAACGGCGACACTCAATTTATCATTAGAGAAAATTTGTTGATTTCTTCCCCAGAATTTATCGTCAGGTTTTGATAATGCTAAGAATGAATGAATGAACGAATGAATGAAGGAAGGGAGGGAGGAAGAAAGGAAAGAGGGAGGGAAGGAAGGATGGATGGAAAGATAGAAGGAGGGAAGGAAGGAAGGAAGGAAGGATGGAATGAATGAATGAAGGGAATCAGGATAGAAGGAGGGAATGGATAAATGAATGAAGGAAGGAAAAAAGCAAGGAAGGAAGGAAATATAAGTGGATTATGACGAGAACAAGAGTAACGGAGAAGAAAAGAAAGATGGATTAAAAAAAAAGAAAGAAGAAAAAAAAAGAATATGGTGGAACACAGCCTTGTCATCTTCAGCTATCACTTTAAAATGGTTGTTTTTGGAAGTCTTGGCAAAGAGTAATAGAAGAAAGAAGAAAAGGGGGAAATAGGTGGGGTGAAGAAGAAAAAGGAACAAATTGGCAAAAAAAAAGAAAAGAGAAAAAGAAAATGCACATATAGTACAAAACATCCAACCTTTAATCTTTAATCCCCATTAATTGAAAAAAAAGAAAAAAAAAATATTGCCAGTCGTACAACAACAGTCTTACGAATCACCTCCTCTCGGCACAGCTCTCTGGCACTGCTCCTGGCACTCAAAACCTTCAATCGACCCCCTTCGCTCTTCTCGCTCGGGTCGGGTTTGCCTCGTAACTCACTCGAAATGGAAATCCGAAGTTGTGCAAGGCTTGGGGAAGGGAAGGGAGGGGAGGGGAAGGGAGGGGGGGAGGGCAGGGAAGGGGAAAGGAGGGGGAGGATGGAAGGGGGAAAGGAGGGGAAGGGAGGGGAGGGGAAGGGAGAGGAAGGACAGGGAAGGGGAAAGGAGGGGAGGGGAAGGGAGGGGAAGGGAGAAGAGGGGAAGGGAGGGGAGGGGAAGGGAGAGGAGGGGAGAGGGGGGGAAGGGAGGAGAGGAGGGAGGGGCAGGGAGAAGAGGGGAAGGGAGGGGAGGGGAAGGGAGAGGAGGGGAAGGGAGGGGAAGGGAGAGGAGGGGAAGGGAGAGGAGGGGAAGGAAGGGGAAGGGAAGGGAGGGGAGGGGAAGGGAGGGGAAGGGGAAGGGAGGGGAGGGGAAGGGAGGTTAAGGGAGAGCAGGGAAGGGGAAAGGAGTGGGGGGAGGATGGAAGGGGGAAAGGAGGGGAGGGGAAGGGAGGTTAAGGAAGGGCAGGGAAGGGGAAAGGAGGGGGGGGGGAGGATGGAAGAGGGAAAGGAGGGGAAGAGAGGAAAGGAGGGAAGGCAGGGGAGGAGAGGGGAGAGAAGAGAGGGGGGAGAAGGGGTAGGGTAAGTTATCTCCGCCATGATGCTTGTAACCGATACATACTAAATTTCACTAGAATTTGACTAGAATCGCATGGGTTCGAGTTAAACTAGGCTGGATTCTGACACACCGGTTTGGGGAAACTGCAAGCGGGGCGTCCATATTGAGATATTGTCTATGTGTCATTTTTTTTTGTTCGCTTACGTTTAAAGAAATTCAGGGCGTGTGTGTAGTGGCCTCCTATTTTTTGATATTGAAATGTCTAAGATGGATTTATTTTTTTTTTCAAAAGTTAATCGTCATACATGTGGAGGAGTTGGCAGCAGTGTCAGTGAGAACGTTAGCTCAACACATTTCCAGACGTGCGCGCGCACATACACACCAACACACACACAGAAGACCCAAAGAGACTCATTCAGAGATTTAATTAACCTTCGACAACACACCACGGGTATTCCAGCGTTTCACCCTCAGCTTCCAAGCCAACACTACGTTAATATAACCATACGTAACAAGAAGCCAAGTATCAATCAGGGAAACTCATTACTCTCCCAATTACTTTTTATGATTACTTCGCCGGCTAAAATGAGTGCATATGTGTGTTAACTCACTCGATGCAAATGAAGTTTACGTAAAAAATGTACATTACATAATTAACTGCGGAGCCGTGAGCCTGGACGCAGCAGAGAGCGAAGGTGACTCGTCTTTTGATCACGTGACTATGCTGCGTCTCAGAAAAAAATGGCAACGCCAAAATTTAATAAGAATGGTGTTAAGGTAGCAAACTTTAATAAAAAAATGAATAAAAAAAGCAAACATTGCATGCCTGTTTTAATAACACAAACATGAAAAAAACAAGTATTATTAAGTTTCACCTGATTAAAATAAAAGAAAAGAAACTTGGCGAATCGGAATTCTCCAGACCTTGAGATGAGTTGTCAATTTCTTTTTTTTTCTCAAATTTAAGGCCATATAAAAGGGAAGCCGTACGCACATACTCCAGGTAATCACACCTCGCCCGTCGAAACAGATGTTATCATTAAGAGGTCGACATCGATCTAATCCCCGAGACAATGGGGTGGTATGGGGTTGCCGATTACCTCATTTCGCGAGACATTTGATTCCTTGTCATCTGTTGATGACGAATACTAGTAATAATAATAATAATAATGCGAAGAGAATAGAAACGAAGAATAATAAAAGGACTAATAATAAGAAGAAAGAAAAAAAGAAAGGAAGGTATGTAATTTTTCTATTTATATTTTCAATCCACCTCATTGAGATGGCTTAGGGAGAAAGGAGAGATATATTCTTGGATACAATGATCGGGGTGTTCTTTCCTTTAACAAGAATATATGGAATGGTTTGAGTTCTTGGATAAATAATACAGTTAAAAGAATTTAATGAAAATTACCCCCTATATAAGGTTATCAAATGTTTGCATATGATACTAACATTTTATTGATTTCTTGACGCACTGAAGGGTGATACATAAAACAATATACCATGGGTGGAATAAGTAGTAAAGATTTTCAAGATACTTGTCTTAACGGCACGGATATAAAAACAAACAAACTAACAAACAAACCATCTCGTATCTTCGTTAAATCGAGCAAAACTCAAATAAAATCATAAGAACCAAAACACCGCCAATCCATTTGTTTATCAAAAAGACTTCACTCTTACGATTTCGGACACCATGACATCTTATTGCCCTTCACTTATATTTTCATCAGTTTATCAAATAGATTCCATTCTGACAACATAAGAAAAACGTCAACAAGATCCAATTCCCTTCCACATATATTTCCCTCTAGCCATCAGTTTATCAAACAAGACCACTCTGACGACTTTATAACAAATTCCCATAACCGGATCCACGAGATCTATATCCCCTTCACACTTATATTTTCTTCTAACCAAGAGTTTATCTGACGACCAAAGAACAAGTTCCCATAACAGGATCGAACACCACATCTACGAGATCTAATTCCTTTCCCTTATATTTTTTCTCCTAGCCATAAGCGTACTGAGAAGTGTCCGCGCGCTGTATTTCCCAGAAGAGACGCGTTGGTTCAAATATCCTGAGGGAGACCATGGATACGATTGCATCCTGACACACTAGTTTTGCTATTTCATTTTCCTCCTTTTTTCACATCATTTCGGGAGTATTTTTCATTGTTCGTTTAATGAATTATTTATTATTCATTCTCTCCTATTTTCCCTTTTCTTTGATTTTGTTTATGATTTAAAAGACCTCAATTATATATCATTCATTAACTCCTCCCCTTTCCAAATGTTTTACAATTACGTCCCCGCTTAATAATTCACATTCCCAGTCTATCTTTGTCCTTTCCAGATGTCTATTTCGTATTTCACGTATCTTTATTGGTAAGGAAGAAGCTACAAAGTAACATCCTCCATGCCGATATTCAGTACGAAAATAATATATTATCTATACTTCGAAAAGGTAAAACAGTCCCGGAAAAGCCGCTTGAGAAATTCGAATGCCTGATTTTGAAGCCGAAGAGAGAGTACAAGAGCGGCTTATAAAGGCGAGTAAGGAGAGAGAGGGAGAAGGAGAGGAAGGGAGAGGGAGAGAGAGAAAGTGAGCGAGATTGAGAGGGAGGGAGGGAGAGGGAGAGAGAAGGAGAGGGAGAGGGAGAGAGAGAAGGAGAAGGAGAGGGAGAGGGAGAGGGAGAGGGAGAGATAGAGATAGAGAGATAGATAGAGAGAGGGAAAGATAGAGAGAGAGAGAGAGGGAGAGATAGATAGATAGATAGATTAATAGATAGATAGATAGATAGATAGATAGATAGATAGAGAAAGAGAGAGAGAGAGAGAGAGAGAGAGAGAGAGAGAGAGAGAGAGAGAGAGAGAGAGAGAGAGAGAGAGAGAGAGAGAGAAAGGGGAGAGAGGGGGAGGGAGAAAGAGAGATAAACATATCAAGCTATCAAGATATTTACAAAGACGAATATCAAAAATCAGTCGGAAAGAAAAAGTCAGTAATGAAGTCCTCGAAAATTTGAAGAAGAACGAGACCTGAAGAAGAAAACAGGCGGAAAATAAGAGGGGGGAAAGACAAAGAATATCTGTTGCGGGTGTCACCGGGGGAGGAATGTTGAGGCCACACACACACACACACACACACACACACACACACACACACACACACACATTCACACACACACACATTCTCACACACACACACACACACACACACACACACACACACAAACACAGACACACACACACAAACACACATACCGTATACCCCGACATATAAACCAGAGAAAGCCAAGAGGCAAAGGGAGACAAATGAACCCGAAGACTTACCTGAGGGAGGCGAGGATGACGAAGGAGATGAGGAGCGTCGCCAGGGACACGCTGTAGCCCACTACCGACATCTGCTTGATGGACGGCAGCCATTCCTGCGGAGACACAAGTGGGACCTCGTTACTGGTAGGAGGGGAGAGGGGAGAGGGGAAGGCGGGGAGAGGGAGGGTAGAGGGGAGGTGGGAGAGGGGAGGCGGTAGGGGTAGGGTTAGGGAAGGAGAATGGAATAGGATGGAAGGGAAAGGGAAAGGGTAGGGGGGGAAAGGGGTATAGAAGGGGGGGGAGAAGGGGGAAATGGGGAGGGTTACGAAAGGGGGAAGGAAAAGGGAGGGGCAAGAGCGGAGGAAGAAGGTGCAATGCAAGGTTGAGGGTGAAAGGGGGGGCAGGGAAAGGTAACGGAAAATTAAGTTGTAAGGGAGATGAAGAAGTGGAAGATGCAGTGGAAGGGAGAAGGATAAGGAGAAAAGGAAACGAACAAGGAAAGGAGCATGGCATTAGGTAGCGGTAGGGGAGGGACATAATGACAAAGAGAGGGAGACAGGGAAATATAGTGACAAGAGGTGGGAGTCTAGGAGAGTATAATGACAGGAGGAGGATAGGGAGAGGGAAGGGGAGAAAACATAGTGACAGGGATAGAGAGAAAGATGTAGAGAAAACAGGGCAATGGCAGCGTCATGGGAGAGAGCAAGGATAGAGAAGAGAGAGTGGGAGTAAGAGAAATTACGTATTCAAGCAGAATGGTCTTAACGAAGAGCGAGCGTGAGATACCTTTTCCTTCGAGGAGAGAGAGAGAAAAAAATCTTCACTCAAGGGAGAAAGGCAGACGGGGCCAAGAGGATAAGAAGAAAAATAAGAATTTGAAGGAAGAAGGGAGAGAAGGAGGGTAGGGACAAAGGCTAAACAAACGCGGAATTAACACGAAATAAACACCTAGCAACCATGCAGAGACATGCAGCGCCTGACAGTTTAATTAATGAATTGTGAATTGCCTCCCCTTGACACACGTAGCTACACACACTCTGACTTCCCTGAATGTTATGAAATCCTTCAGGGCTTTGAACATTATCCTTCACCTCTCCAATGTTGTTTATAACAAATTTTCTTCTCATATATCTACCCTTCCACATCATATTAATTTTAGCATCCGGGTTATTCGTACAAGGTAAAAGGTAAAGGTAAATGCACGCACACATAGATCTTAGTTCTGATAGCAATTGAATTTAATGTCAAAATTCCTTCCTTTTTACCAAGAGCTTGATTAACTTGCTGCACATTCCACATAGAGAGTAAGTGTAGAACATGTATTATAGCCAACGTACAAGGTTATCACTACACGCTGACAATGTTCAAGCCACGTTTCAACTCTTGTACCTGAAACATGCAAAGCGAATTAAGTGCGAGTGCTTCATATTAAAGATTCGAAAAACGCTGACTGGTGAGCTCGGGAGTGGGACGGGATGTTTATTCTTAGTTTACAGTTTAAACTAGTTTGTTGAGAAGTAGATAATGTCAGACACAACTTACAATCTACTGACAATCACACTCAAAAGCAAAACGTGGATAATTATAAATGATGATAAATGCACACGCTCAGACACACGCACTCACAAAAAGGGAGATAGGGAAGATAACTAGAAACGAATGTCGTTAGATAACAATAAGTATGTATTCAATGCAATAAGATAAATCAACGTAATAGATGCTATAGATACTAATGAAATATTTGGCTAATATGGATGACGAGGATTATTGTGAGAAAATGTGTTAAGACGACTAGATGATATTTTTGATGGTGATAATGGCGATAGTAATGATACTGATAATAGTAATGATGATCAAAATGATCAGTGCTAATCTTGATAATAACAATACTATTACTTAAAATAGATGTCATGATAATGACAGATATAGTGATAGAATCATATAATAAGGTTAGCAGTGGTAATAACAGTAACAGCAACAATAATAGCTAGGCCAACAATGATAACTACAGCAACAATAAAAATAAAGATAATAGTCACTGTCATAACAACGATAATGATAATAAATATGCTAATTGG